ACTGTCTATTTCTCCATGGAGGAGTGGGAGTATTTAGAAGGACACAAGGACCTCTACAAGGACGTTATAATGGAGAATCAGCCGCCCCTCACATCATCGGGTAAGAGGAGACTTTATTGTAAAGGAGTGAGCAGTACGGAGGGTCCACCTAGATCCCCCATCATCTGATAAACACATAGAAACAATGGATTCAGTCAGTGTGTGTATTTCCTACAGATGGATCCAGTAATGGGAACCCACCAGAGAGATGTCCCCGTCCTCTGTATTCCCGGGATTCCACACAGGAAGGTCACACCATCCCTCACCATCATCAGGTAGATGGATCCAATCATGGGAACCCACCAGAGAGATGTCCCCGTCCTTTGTATTCCTGGGACTCCACACAGGAAGGTCACACCATCCCTTGCCATCATCTGGTAGGTGGGACCAAGGAACTAGAACAGATATCTAAGCTATGAGAGGACATTCTTCCATGTGATCTCTTTTTCTGTTTTACCCATATATTCTATCATCTTTTGGGTTTAGAACGAGGAACTGAAAGACATCAAAGTTGAGATTAAGGAGGAAGAAGAAGCTCAGCAGTCTATGGGAGAGGGAGATCCTCTGTATTCCCTGGATGCCGCACAGGAAGGTCACACCATCCCTCACCATCATCAGGTAGATGGATCCAGTTATGGGAACCGACCAGAGAGATGTCCTCTGTATTCCCGGGATTCCACAGATGAAGGTCACACCATCCCTCACCATCATCAGGTAGGTGAGGAACAATTTTAGGCAATTATGAGTTTTATACAAGCATACAGTCAGATCCATAAATATTGGGACATCGACACAATTCTAAAATTTTTGGCTCTATACACCACCACAAAGGTTTTGAAATGAAACAAACAAGATGTGCTTTAACTGCAGACTGTCAGCTTTAATTTGAGTGTATTTACATCCAAATCAGGTGAACGGTGTAGGAATTACAACAGTTTGCATATGTGCCTCCCACTTGTTAAGGGACCAAAAGTAATGGGACAGAATAATAATCATAAATCAAACTTTCACTTTTTAATACTTGGTTGCAAATCCTTTGCAGTCAATTACAGCCTGAAGTCTGGAACGCATAGACATCACCAGACGCTGGGTTTCATCCCTGGTGATGCTCTGCCAGGCCTCTACTGCAACTGTCTTCAGTTCCTGCTTGTTCTTGGGGCATTTTCCCTTCAGTTTTTTTGTCTTCAGCAAGTGAAATGCATGCTCAATCGGATTCAGGTCAGGTGATTGACTTGACCATTGCATAACATTCCACTTCTTTCCCTTAAAAAACTCTTTGGTTGCTTTTGCAGTATGCTTTGGGTCATTGTCCATCTGCACTGTGAAGCGGCTTCCAATGAGTTGTGAAGCATTTGGCTGAATATGAGCAGATAATATTGCCCAAAACACTTCACAATTCATCCTGCTGCTTTTGTCAGCAGTCACATCATCAATAAATACAAGAGAACCAGTTCCATTGGCAGCCATACATGCCCACACCATGACACTACCACCACCATGCTTCACTGATGAGGTGGTATGCTTAGGATCATGAGCAGTTCCTTTCCTTCTCCATACTCTTCTCTTCCCATCACTCTGGTACAAGTTGATCTTGGTCTCATCTGTCCATAGGATGTTGTTCCAGAACTGTGAAGGCTTTTTTACATGTCGTTTGGCAAACTCTAATGTGGCCTTCCTGTTTTTGAGGCTCACCAATGGTTTACATCTTGTGGTGGAACCCTCTGTATTCACTCTGGTGAAGTCTTCTCTTGATTGTTGACTTTGACACACATACACCTACCTCCTGGAGAGTGTTCTTGATCTGGCCAACTGTTGTGAAGGGTGTTTTTCTTCACCAGGCAAAGAATTCTTCAGTCATCCACCACAGTTGTTTTCCGTGGTCTTCCGGGTCTTTTGGTGTTGCTGAGCTTACCGGTGCGTTCCTTTTTTTTTTAAAGAATGTTCCAAACTGTTGTTTTGGCCACGCCTAATGTTTTTGCTATCTCTCGGATGGGTTTGTTTTGTTTTTTCAGCCTAATGATAGCTTGCTTCACTGATAATGACAGCTCTTTGGATCTCATCTTGAGAGTTGACAGCAACAGATTCCAAATGCAAATAGCACACTTGAAATGAACTCTGGACCTTTTATCTGCTCATTGTAATTGGGATAATGAGGGAATAACACACACCTGGCCATGGAACAGCTGAGAAGCCAATTGTCCCATTACTTTCGGTCCCTTAACAAGTGGGAAGCACATATGCAAACTGTTGTAATTTCTACACCGTTCACCTGATGTGGATGTAAATACCCTCAAATTAAAGCTGACAGACTACAGTTAAAGCACATCTTGTTAGTTTCATTTCAAATCCATTGTGGTGGTGTATAGAGCCAAAAATGTTAGAATTGTGTCGATGTCCCAATATTTATGGACCTGACTGTATGTATTATAACTGATGTTTTTTTTTAATATATTTAGAGTGGAAACCTCTGGGATTGTAAAATTGTTAAAGAAGAGTATAAAGTGGCCGATGAGGAGTATGGTGTGATGATAAAGATTTTTCAGGAATGTAATGAATTCTATAAGGATGCTAGGATGGAGCCATCTAGTAGCAGAAACCCACCAGAGAGATGTCCCCGTCCTCTGTACTCCCGGGATTCCACACAGGAAGGTCTCACCATCCCCCACCATCATCAGGTTGATTTCGGGGATTCAGTAACGGAAACCCACCAGAGAGATGTCCCCGTCCTCTGTATTCCCGGGATTCCACACAGGAAGGTCACAACATCCCTCACCATCATCAGGTAGGTGGGACTAAGGAACTAGAACAGAGTTCTAAGCTGTGAGAGGACATTCCCCCATATGATCTCTTGTTCCTTTTTACACATATATTCTATCATCTTTGGGGTTTAGAATGAAAAATTAAAAGACATCAAAGTTAAGATTAAAGAGGAAGAAGAAGAAACATTGGTGAGTGGAGCTCAGCAGTCTATGGGAGGGGGAGATCCTCTGTATTCCTGGGATTCCACACAGGAAGATCACACCATCCCTCACCATTACAAGGTTGGTTGAACGGAACATCTGGAACATGGACTGGTGAGACGATGTGTGGGGCTTTTTCATACGTGATGTCACAATATTACATCTTAAGTTTTACGTTTCTATAATTTTCTTGGTTTAGGGTGAAGATCTGAGAGATATAAAAGATGAGGTGAAAGCAGAAGAAGAACAGGCGTATGTGAGGGATGATCAGCAGTCTATGGAGGAGGATGGAATAACGGGGACATTTATAGAGGAGGATACTCCTACAGAGATCAGCACAGGTGGGTCATCAACACTAAATCCATTTCTCCACCCATACTGCTCACTGATTGGTACAGAGTAGGGCGGGGTGATATCGGCCTGTAATACCCTGGTCACTTTCCTGAGCTGTGTTCCCCGTCCTGTATTCCTGTATTCCTCTCAGATCATCTTCCTTCTCTGTGACACAATTTATGTCTCTGGACTGGACTTATGGAGGTTCTGGGGATCAGCTGGTAGCAAAGGGTTGACTTTCGCTAAAGGTGTTGCTCAATCTTGGCACCTGGGGTATGTGTATTGAATCATCTCCCCAAGTCAAGCAAGATCTTTGACAGAACAATTCTCCCAGGGTACTCTGTCTGCTGGCTGTGCCGGATGGAGGGATATGTCTGTATAGTCTCAGACCCAAGTCACTGAGTGCAGTCTCAGGAGATGGGAGGCAGCGGTGTGGGACCTCTGCAACTTGTCTACAGTAAACATTTAAACTATCACTGATTCTGAATACCAATTTTATGGGTCCCTTACACTATATAATTTATATTGTACATTACATACTCCTGACCCCAGCACTATATACTCTGTTGTACGTTACAGTACAGTCCTGACCCATCAGCTATAAACTCTTTGCTGTACATTATATACTCCTGACCCCTGTACTATATACTCTGTGTTTGTACATTACATACGCCTGACCCCTGCACTATATACTCTGTGTTGTACATTACATACTCCTGATACTATATAGTCCTAACTGTTGTATCTCATACAATATATTGTACATGATATGGTCCTGACATCTGCTCTCCCCTTTCGCCCACTGCTATATATACATATAATATGGATTCTTTTTTCTTACACCCATTTCCTACCAGCTGGACATTTTATATTGGATGATGTGATTGGAGCACAGACTTTTACATGGTGATAATAATGTGATAACATCCTCCAACTTTGGAACATTAAACAGAAAGTGATCATGAGGGAGGAGCCAATAACCCAATAATGGTGGTGTTCAGGATGGGAGAGGAGCCAATAACCCAATGATGGTGGTCTTCAGGATCAGTCCAGTCTTCCTCTTGGTTGTTCTCCCCCCATCCTCACTCTCTGACCTCTGGTGGGGCTCAGCCCCACTGTTCTTCATAACTAAATCATGGACTAAATCAGAAAGTGCAGTACTTCTTGTGTTGGGAAGATGGCGATGAGTGATAGAGGGGGTGGGAACCCTCGTTCTATAATCCCCTCATCACTGTCCCTCCTATAAAAGACAGTTCTGGTTGTTTCCTCACTCTCTGACTAAGGTCCATGAATAAAGAAATGACCTGGTAGGAGATCAGAGGAGCCATTTCCTAGTTCCCTTGAGGGTGGAACTGGAAGCTCCTCAGAGACCAAGCTGCCTGATGTGGGCGGACTCCTGGTTTGGGGGAACCAATCAGCTCCTGTCTAGTAATCCTCTTTGTCTTTGTATTTTAGTCCATGGCCGAGAGATGAGGAAAACCTCCGAGGATTGTCTCACTTTGTCTGCAGACTGGAAAGTAGAAGATGACGACATCACACAGTATAGTCCAGGAGAAAACCCGGCTCCCTCCAATGTCCATCCGGCACCACCTAGTGTAGATGGACCATCAGATTCCTCGTATCCTGAGGAACCTCAGACTGTGCGGGACTGGGCCGGCCTTCCAACAGGGAAGAGATTCTCCTGTACTGAGTGCGTGAAATGTTTCCGTTTCAAATCCCAACTTGATGTGCATAAAAGAACTCACACGGGGGAGAAGCCGTATTCCTGTCCTGAGTGCGGGAAATGTTTTGTACAAAAACTACAACTTGTCACACATCAAATCTCTCACACAGGGTTAAAGCCGTATTCCTGTGCCGAGTGTGGGAAATGTTTTCGAGGGAGGTCCAATCTTTACCAACATCGGAAATTGCATTGGAGTGAGAAGCCCTATCCCTGCTCTGAGTGCGACAAAGGTTATGTACAAAAATCAGAGCTTGTCAGACATCAGAGGTCTCACACTGAGAAGCCGTATTCCTGTCCTGAGTGCGGAAAATGTTTTTCAAAAAAGAACCATCTTTCCATACACCGGAGTTCTCACACGGAGGAGAAGCCACTTTCCTGTCCCGAGTGCGGGAAATGTCACTCACGCAAGTCCTGTCTTTATAGACACTTGAAATTGGACACGGGGGAGGATCCACTTTCCTGGTCTGATTGAGGGAATTTCTCCTGTCTTTCTGTACATCAGGGGTCCCACACAACCCTCGTGGTGTATTAGTGCGGGAAATGTTCTCTATATGAATGTTGCTAGACATCACAGCTCTCATTGGGTGGGGTTAGTCATTACCTTTCATTTGTAAATATTGTGGTGTAATCTTTCACAATTGGAGATCTTCTTTTTTTTTTTTTTTTTTTTTTACTTATATAATATCCAATAAAATTTAATTTTTTTTTTTTATAATTTTAGCTAAAAATGTATTCTTCTCCATGTCTTTGTAAAAAAAAAAAAAAATATCCCAGTAAGTTTGTATATTGATTGGTTTGGTATAGAGTCTACAACCTATGGGATCTATCCAGCTATGGTGCTATGCCGGTGATCAGTGACTTGGTGTGACTGTGGTAGCGTGGCGGGCAATTTGGCACTAACAGACACTGGCTGAGAAGGACACTGACATCGATGGTGCTAGTGACACGAATACAGTGATACCACTGATTTGGAGTTTGTCTTCAGTTAGTGTATCTAAATCTGAGAATATGCTTAACACTCCCCTCCCCCCAAGACTGACAATGCTGCTATCCAAGTGTGCCCCCTGTGCTCCTTCATTCAGAGTTGGGGCGCTTTGATACAGGGGGTGTATTACTGGGAAGAGTGGGGGTGCTCTAATACAGGGGGTGTGTTACTGGCCAGAGTGGGGGTGCTCTAATACAGGAGCTGCGTTACTGGCCAGAGTGAGGGCACTCTAATACAGGGGGTGTGTTACTGGGAAGAGTGGGGGTGCTCTAATACAGGGGGTGTGTTACTGGGAAGAGTGGGGGCGCTCTAATACAGGGGGTGTGTTACTGGGAAGAGTGGGGGCGCTCTAATACAGGGGGTGTGTTACTGGCCAGAGTGGGGGAGGGGCTCAATTACAGGACATGTTACTAGCCAGAGTGGGGGTGGCTCTAATACAGGAGGTGTGTTACTGGGCAGAGTGGGGGAGGGGCTCAATTACAGGACGTGTTACTGGCCAGAGTGGGGGAGGGGCTCTAATACAGGTGTGTTACTGGACAGAGTGGGGGAGGGGCTCTAATACAGAAGGTGTGTTACTGGGTAGAGTGGAGGGGGTGGCTCTAATACAGGAGGTGTGTTACTGGGTAGAGTGGAGGGGGTGGCTCTAATACAGGAGGTGTGTTACTGGGCAGAGTGGGGGGTGGCTCTAATACAGGAGGTGTTACTGGCCAGAGTGGGGGAGGGGCTCTAATACAGGTGGTGTGTTACTGGGCAGAGTGGGGGTGCTCTAATACAGGAGGTGTGTTACTGGCCAGAGTGGGGGAGGGACTCTAATACAGGGGGGGTGTCACTGGCCTGAGTGGGGGAGGGGCTGCAATACAGGGGGTGTTACTGGGCAGAGTGGGAGGGGCTCTAATACAGGAGGTGTTACTGAGCAGAGTGGGGGTGCTCTAATACAAGGGGTGTGTTACTGTCCAGAGTGGGAGAGGGGCTCAATTACAGGACGTGTTACTGTCCAGAGTGGGGGGTGGCTCTAATACAGGAGGTGTGTTACTGGGCAGAGTGGGGGAGGGGCTCAATTACAGGACCTGTTACTGGCCAGAGTGGGGGCGTGTTACTGGACAGAGTGGGGGAGGGGCTCTAATACAGGTGTGTTACTGGGTAGAGTGGGGGGGGGGGGGGTGGCTCTAATACAGGAGATGTGTTACTGGCCAGAGTGGGAGAGGTACTCTAATACAGGGGGTGTGTTACTGGCCAGAGTGGGGGAGGGGCTGCAATACAGGGGGCTGTTACTGGGCAGAGTGGGAGGGGCTCTAATACAGGAGGCGTTACTGGGCAGAGTGGGAGGGGGGCTCTTATATGGGGGGTGTTACTGGGCAGAGTGGGGCAGGGGCTCTAATACAGGAGGTGTGTTACTGGGCAGAGTGGGAGGGGCTCTATTACAGGAGGTGTGTTATTGGGCAGAGTGGGAGGGGCTCTATTACAGGAGGTGTGTTACTGGGCAGAGTGGAAGGGGGGCTCTAATACAGGGGGGTGTTACTGGGCAAGGTGGGAGGGGCTCTGTTACAGGAGGTGTGTTACTGGGCAGAGTGGGGGATGGGGCTCTAATACAGGGGGTGTGTTACTGGGCAGAGTGGGAGGGGCTCTATTACAGAAGGTGTTACTGGGCAGAGTGGGAGGGGCTCTATTACAGGAGGTGTGTTACTGGGTAGAGTGGAAGGGGGGCTCTAATACAGGGGGTGTGTTACTGGGCAGTGTGTGGTGGGAGGGGCTGTAATACAGGGGGTGTGCCACTATACAGTGTGGGAGGTGCTTTATGCACTCACGTATATAAACGCATGTAGACGTGTACACAAAGCGGAATATGGATGGTACCAGTGATGCAGACATCATGCGTTGAACCACAGGTAGCGAACGGATCTCTCTGCTCGTCCTGCAGGACCTTCTCTCTGGTGATGACATCAGCGATGTCTGTGAACGAGGTCAGGAAATGGCTGTGAAGCCGGAGGATGAAATGTATTAGGAAGGCCGAGATCCATGGTGGGCGGAGTCTGTCATGTGGAGGAGGAGCCCCCTTCTACCACCCTACCTGAGGAGAGCTGACACCAGGAGAACAAGGGTGACGCCCCTCCCCCTTCTCTTTATAGTGACAGGATGTGGGTGGAGACACAGGCAGAGCCTTCATTGGATGCTGTTGTAGATGGGGGTGTGCCTTCTCATGCTGTGTGGCTGAAATCTGTACCCTCAGAGTGTGTGATGTCACTTCCTGTCCTCACCTCAGACTCCTCATACAGGTACAGGGAGGGAGGGATAAATGTCTGCGTGACCAACTCCCTCCATCTTCACTGAATACATAGTTACAGCTTTATGTAACCTCTACCCACACTGACAGAAGGGCAACTGACACACTAATAGATAGGCAACAGACACACTGACTGACACGCTGACACAGACTGACACGCTGACTGACTGACACACTGACTGACAGGCTGACTGACTGACACGCTGACTGACTGACACGCTGACTGACTGACTGACACGCTGACTGACTGACACACTTACTGCCTGACTGACACGCTGACTGACTGAACCAAATGCGATATCTCCTGCACTGCGGTGCCCACTGTGTCCTCCGGATCGGATCGTTGTACGGGACCTCTGTGCAAGGTCCCGATCATGTGATCAATGATTGGCCAATCAGTGATCACATGCAGAGTAGTAAGCAAGATGTCACTTCTGACATCATTGCTTACTACATGTGAAATCTGTTACACCCATTATGGGTGTAAAAGCACTCTCAGTCCAGTCAGCTCTGAGGAAGAAGGCATGTCCTTCGAAACGCGTCAGCTGTACTGAGTGGCTTCCTCCATGATGGGATTCGCATTGGCATCTTGCCTCTAAAGTCCCTTTGAGGACTTACATGCTTGTTTTTATTCGCTGTTTGTGAGTACCATTCTTTTATTCAATACATTTTTGGTTACTGAGGTAATGCGCAAGGTTGGTGCGCTTCTCTTTTGTTGTTCTCCTTCACACGCTGACTGACTGACACAGACTGACTGACTGACACGCTGACTGACTGACACACTGACTGACTGACACGCTTATTGACTGACACAGACTGACTGACGCTGACTGACACAGACTGACTGACTGCCAGACACAATGACTGACTGACAGACACGCTGACTGACTGACACAGACTGACTGACTGACACGCTGACTGATTGACATGCTGACTGACTGACACAGACTGACTGACTGACACGCTGACTGATTGACATGCTGACTGACTGACTGACAGGCTGACTGACACAGACTGACTGACTGACAGACACAATGACTGACTGATAGACACAATGACTGACTGACTGACACGCTGACTGACTGACACGCTGACTGACTGACACGCTGACTGACTGACACGCTGACTGACAGACACGCTGACTGACTGACACGCTGACTGACTGACTGACTGACAGACACGTTGACTGGCACGCTGACTGACTGACTGACAGACACGCTGACTGGCACGCTGACTGACTGACACGCTGGCTGACTGACTGACACGCTGACTGGCTGACACGCTGACTGGCTGACTGACACGCGGAATGACTGACACGCTTCAAAAATCCCAGTAAGTGTATATTAACCATTTGACCTTGTGGATTTGCACAGGAGGCCCACTCTGTAGCAGTCAATCTGCCATAGGTCGGTCTTCCAGTGGTTAATTGGGTTGTGTGAGGGCTGGTTCACACTCCATGCGTTTCAGTTGCTTTTTTTCCTGCATCCAAAACACACAGAAAGTCGGTGATCTGGTTGTCAGTGTCATAGTTCACATCAGCGCTCGCAGTTCCGGTGTGTTTCTGGTTGCAAAAAAAAAAGTAAAACAGGCTGCATTTTTCCTGCATAGAACTGTACTGGAATGCGTTAAAATGCATAAAAAGCTAACAAAAATAGGAACCAAAAGTGCACTGGAACGCACATTTTATTATTTCAATAGAAAAAAAAAAAAAAAAAGAGAGGGGAATGAACTGGAAAGCATCAAAAATGTGCATATAGAAACGCATCCGGAACATGTTTCTATGGTGTGAACTGCCCCTTAACCACCTCACGTCCGGCCCATGTATATAAACGGCCGGATGGTGGCAGTGCAGGAGTGGGTGGATGTTTATAATGGCCTCCCCGCCCCCTGCTTGTGTGCGCTCCCTGGGAGGGCACGCAGCACTGCGATCCGGTGCCCACTGTGTCCTCCGGATCGGATCGTTGTACGGGACCTCTGTGCAAGGTCCCGATCATGTGATCAATGATTGGCCAATCAGTGATCACATGCAGAGTAGTAAGCAAGATGTCACTTCTGACATCATTGCTTACTACATGTGAAATCTGTTACACCCATTATGGGTGTAAAAAAAAAAAAAATTTACTTCACCCCCCACAAGTAGTACAGTGTCACGATGATGACACTGTACTGCTAGGGTGACAGTATGTAAAAAAAAAAAAACAAAAAA